CAAGAGACCCAAGAACTAGAAAGGTGAGGCTCACCAAGCCATTTATCTCTCTGCCCTTCAATTAACCCCACATGTGTTTATCGTCCAGGTTGGCACAATAAACTAACTACCTCAGGTTGCTAACTGCAAGGTCAGCAGCTCACCCCTACCAGCCACTTGGCGACAGAAAGATGAGGCTTCCTGCTCCTTTCAGAGATTGACTGTCTCAGAAACTCTGGTCCTGCCCCTGAGTCCACTGAGTAAGAATCCACCTGGTGATAGTTCGAGGCGTTGTTGTTGTTATTGTTGGTCTTTGAACTGAATCAATTAAATGGCCAGTGTTTCTAATATGTAATTTTTTAAAATCATCTTCAGTTTTCCTGTTTTCAGAGGAGCATAATTGAATACTTTCTTTCTAACACATTGAAATATTACTGAAAAAGCAACCTGTTATTTTGCTTGCAAACTAACTTTTTAGCAAAAATATTATTTTGCAAATTAACAATTTCTACACTCTCCTCATTTAAACAAGCGACGTATTAATTTTGTTAAACAACTTCTGGAAGTAATTTATTCTTCAAAATAAAACCTTTATCTGGTGGATAGACTTCCAATTAAATCACTAGGTCAAATGAAATCAAAGAGTGGGAGTTTGTCATCTGAGTTCCTCTAAAAGTTGATTAAATTATTGCAAAGAACCTCTACAAGGGTGTGCGGAGGTGGGGGGCTGTCTTTAAGCCTGCAGTTCTCAACATTAATAGTAAGATTGCACAGTTAAGGTGCTAGCAGTCCAGATAAGAACTAAACCAAACTCACTGTCATCAAGTCCACGCCGACTCACAGCGACCCTGTAGGATGGAATGGAACTGCCCCTGTGGGTTTCTAAGGCTGTGAGACAGAGTATTTTAATAATCCCCAAGGTTTTCTTCTCTGACCATATTCCCATCTACCCTAAAAGTCCTAACAATAAATGATGTGTAAATTTACATGGCCTGTCAAAACGTGAGGCACTTGTTACTTACTTCGTTCATCTTCAACTAAGTGACAGTTTTGCTACTTCAAACATCTGATCGTGCGATTGCAGTGAAATGTCTGAGAAAAACAGCGTCCTCACAGTGTTTGTGTTTGGTGTGCTAATATCTGAATTGCGGGGCATAAAAAATTCTGAGAACATAAAATCTGCGTTAATTCTCTACAACCTGCAGGCTGCCTTCCCTTAGCCTGGAGGGCGGCCAAGGTCTCTAATGCTTGTTTGCCGGGTTGACATCTGAGGGTGGGGTGGTCTGGCTGGCTGGTCACGTGGGTGCCCTCGAGGGCCAGTTTCACAATGACCTTATGGGTCCCAAGTGCAGAACACCAGGGAGTCCCCGCCCAGGTATTTTCTGGTCAACTGCTGCTTCCAGATGTCCACATGGTCCCTAATGGCTGCAGGGGCGGGGCTGGCCACAACGCGGGCGCGGGGAAGCCCCCCACCCCTGCCCCTGCCCCAGGCATCCCCGGCTGGGCCCCGTCCACGCCGAGGCCGACGCTCACCGGCAGCCGGGTCAGGGTGCTGGCCTCGTCCCCCGCCTCCTCCTGCGAGGCGGCCGGAGCCGCCCTTTCCTTGCCCACCGCCTGCCAGAAGGTCCTCCAGCCACTGAGGATGGCCGCCTCCCAGCGACTCCAGTCGCCGTGCGCCGTCGGCGGGGAGCGGCTCCCGCTGCGCGGCTCGCTCCGCGCCATGGCCGCCAGCGCCGGTGACGCCGCCGGGTTCTGCGCCGGCGCGGCGGGCGCCTGCGGCCCCAGCGCGGGGCTGGTTGGCCTTGCCCTTGGGGGTGGGCCGGCGCGATCCCACGGGGCGTGGTGCAGGGACGAGCTGCAAGCTCCGCCCGCGGTCCCTGCCCATTCATTCTGGCCGCGACCTCAGCCGCACTTGACCTCGGGCACGACTGCAACGTCTGCGCGTGTATAGCTTCCCGACGTCGCCCACGCGGATCCCCTCTCCCGCGCCTGCATCCCGCCCGCTGTGTCTGCTCATTCCACCCCCGTGGACTCAGCAGTTATTTCCTTACACAACACTGAATTTGTATTCTTTAGCAATATATGTCCCAGAATACAGTACTCTCTATATATGCATATATATACAGTATTTCCCAGAATACCATATATATATAGTATAACATACTATATATTTACTAATTTCCCAGAATACTATATATATGTGTATGTATATAGTACAACATATATATGGTATTCTGGGAAACTGGTAAAAATTGATACTGGAAAGACTGCCAGGAGCCCAATCATAAAGGATCATAAGCCAAAATGAGGAATCTGAGTCCATCTTGTAAAAGGATAAGTGCATTTTTTTAATGCTTAATGAATGGATTGGATGCCTTAAGAGGGCTGCAAAACGGGCTAAAATAGTCATATTTCACCAGAAGAAGACCCACACATGGTATCGATGAAATCCGACAAGTGGGTTTTTATCTCTTAAATGGCTTGAAGTAAAGTATGGCCCTTTACTAATTGGAACTATGGATGGTCTTTTTGGATATGAAGGGTACGGTACTATGTGTTATCATTTTCAAACTGATTACCTCACTTACTCTAATCCAAACCAGTCTCTGCTGCTGCTGCAAAACCAGATCTCTTGTGTTAAAAGAATACTTCAATTTAAAATTAAATTAGGTATAGGAAATTTAAAGTAAATTTTTAGACCAGGGTTTATAGTCTGTTATGCCACAGAGTAAGAACATTACACACTAATAATCTAATGGGGTTGAGAGTCCATTTTGGAATGATACTATTACATTATTATTAACTATTACACTATTATTAACAGTTCTCTTCAAAATCTGGTGTAGTTTCAAACCAGTAATGGTATCCAGTCTCTTGGTGAAGACATCCAAATGTGGAAATAGATTTCCATGACCAGTAGTTTTCTTTATTGTTGCAATTGTCAAAGCATCCTCATATTTAATCTAAATCAACTGTTTAAATATCAATCCCACTTTACTTTTATAATTTTCAAAATAGAGGTCAAGGTCAGTATGTTCATAAAATTGTCAAAGTTTTTAAAGGACCATGATCTACATATAAGATCATATAAGAAAGCTGAGCATATAAGTATCTAAGTACCAACACTCATGTATGTATTTATCACTGAATCAACCCCCAAATGAGTAGTGATGAGCTGTGCTCCCCACGATCTTTCCTTTTTAAATCATTTTATTGGCATATAATTCACATATCATATAACTTAACAGTTCAATCATGTCGACAAGAGTGGTGCAAATCATCACCACTCACTTTGAGAACATTTTCTTCTTTCTCATACTCATTCTTAACTCCCCACTTTCCCCCAACCTCGTCTGCCATGGCCCTGATGTGATCAGGTGCCACAAGGACTCCATGTACAGCAGAGCAAATCACTGTTGGTCCAGCGCCTTTCTCCGTTTGTTCCTATGAAGAGCCCATTGTTACAGCAACTGCGTCAATCCAGCGTCGCGAGGCCCTTCCTCTTTTTGCTGCCCTTTACCAAGCATGTCCTTTTCCAGGGACTGGTCTCTCCTGATAACATGTCCAAAGTATGTGAGAGAAGATCTCACCATCCTTGCCTCGAAGGAGTATTCTAATTGTACTCCTTTCAGGACAGATTTGTTTTTTTCTTTGGGCAGTCCATAGAACTTTCGCTCTTCTTTGCAAGGACCTTAGGTAATTATTATTCTAGTTACTGTCTCTATAAACCCATCCATCCTGAATTTCATACACAGAAAATCATACACAACAAAGCAAAGAGCAAACAAAACCAACAATGACAAGACAAAACAGAAAAATCAAAATATATTAAAAACTAAAACAACTTTAAAATGAGTAAAAAGGGAAATCAAATGGTAAGGTATTTCATTTTAGCCTAACCACAGTTGCCCTAATCGACTCTATAATGCTGTCTGATAACAAGGCAATTCACATCCCTCCATAGGATTCCCAATGGCCGGGTTTTCGGCGGGACAATGTCAGGTCTTTCTTCTGAGATGACTGGGAGAATGCAAAACCCCCACAAGCTGGTTAGCACTTGTGAATCCTCATTGCACCTTTCAGAGACTCCTGTATGTATCAGCATAGCACATAGCGACACGATTAATGCTTTCTACTGAATGTTCCATGAGACTGGGACTGCGGATTAGGCCTTGGGCTGCTAACCGTTAAGAGAACTGGTACAAACCAAGAAGCGACTCCACAGAGGACAGAGGAGACTGTTAGCTCCCCAAAAGATTGCTCGTCCCAGAAACCTATGAGTCAGTGTAGCTATGAGTTGACAGTAGGTTGGTTTGGGTTTGGATTAAACTAATACTCAAAAACGAAATATCTGAGGGTACACACATAAAAAAATTAAAGCTTGCTAGCTGAGGATCGGTTAATTTCATTATTTGCTTTGCAAGCGTTGCCCGGGGAACCAATTTGTTGGCAAGCTCAGCTCTGAGAAGCTGTCTGGACAGGAAACGGAGCCAGGGCTTGACTACACAGATGGCATTTCTCCTCTGCTTCTAGTCTAGGCAGTGGTTTGTGTTCAGAACAAAAAGAACCAGTGTACAAGGAAACAGGGAGAATAAATAATTTTCCACCTAAGTACTCAAATGGCTTTGAGTTCTCTCAAAAAGAAGTGTTTTTTCTTAAATTAATAGACCAGATGAAGTAATCTTACTATGAAAAACCAGCATATATAGAAGAGTGAAGAATATACTGTGTACTCATGGTCTAAAACTCAAGTTACACACTCAGGGTCAAGCGTACTTTGCGTGTCTCGCTTAGTTCTGAATTATTTGGAAGCAAATAGCAGACATCCTACTATTTCATATAGAAATATTTCATTATGTGCCTTTATAGGCTGTTGTTTGATGTGTTGTTGACTCTGAAGAGTCGGTTCCAACTCACAGTGATCTAATCCTCGCACTGTCCAGTCCTGTGCCCTTCTCAAAGTGCCGCAGTGTTGCAGGCTCGGTGCCTAACCATCTTATTGAAAGTCATCCTTGTGGCTGACAGTCTAACAAAATTACGTCCTTTTCCCAAGGTTAGTCCTTCCTGATAACATGCCCAAAGTACATGACATGAAGTCTTGCCACCCATCCTGGCTGTGTTTCTCCCAAGATTCATTCTTCTAGCAGCTCATGATATTTTTAATATTGTTCACCAACACCACAATTCAAGGGCATCAATTTCCCTTGAGTTTTTTTTAATACATTGTCCAGCTTCCAGATGCATATAAGGTGATTGAAAATACTGTGGTTTGGGACAAGGTGCACCTTAATCCTCAAAGTGACATCTTTGATTTTAACACTTTAAAGCAGTCTTTTGCAGGAGATTTGCCCACTACAGTACATCATGTGATTTCTCAACTGCTGCTTCCATAGGTGTGGAAGCATGGATCCCAGTCAAATGACATTCTTGACCTTCTAATTATTTATCATGATGCTGCTGATTGGTTAAGTCGTGAGGCCTTTAACTTAATTTTATATTTTGGGGTATAACCCACACTGAAGGTGATAGGCCTTTATTGTCATCAGTAAGTGCTTCCAGTCTTTTGGCGTTCAGCAAGCAAAATCGTGTCATCTACGTATCACATCGGTTCAATGAATCTTCCTCCAAACCAGATGTCACATTCCAGATCGGCTTCTCGGATGAGTTGCTCAACATACAGATTGAGTAAGTATGGTCAAAGGATACAACCTGGCACTCACCTTATTTTAAATCACACAGAACCCTTTGTTCTTCTCTTGCTCTTTCACAGGTTCTGCATGCACACCATTAAATTATTCTGGGATTTCCATTTTTCACAATGTAACCATAATTTGCTATTATGCATACACCTTCTTTTGCATAGTCACTTAAGCATAGATAAAGGTCTTCCTGCTTTTCTCTACTTTCAGCCAAGCTACGTGGGCTATCAGCAAACCCAGCCCTCAGTCTTCAGCCTCTGCTGAGTCCGACTTGATTTCCCTGTCAATGCACTGCAACAATTATTTTTTAATTATGTCCAACAAATTTTTACTTGCATGTAATATTGATGATGTTGTTAGATAGGTCTGCATTTGGTTTGTTCACCTTTCTTGGAAACGGGTACAAGCCTGCATGCCTCGCAGTCAGCTGGTCAGGTAGTTGTCTTCCACATTCCTTGACATAAACTACTGAGTTCTACCAGCATGACATCAGTTTTTGAATTAGTATTCTGTCAATTACTGCAGTCTCCCCCATGCCCCACTAATGCCTCCAGAGCAGCTTGCACTTCTTCCAATACCTCCAGTTCTCAGTCATGTGCTACTCCTTGAGAAGGTAAGACATTAGTCAATTCTTTTTAGCACAGTGACTGTGTAGTCCATCTTTTTTAAAGTGTATCCTATGTTGTTCAATATTTTACCCATAGAGTCAATGAATATTGCAACTCAAGTCTTGAATGTTTTTCTTCAGTTCTACCTTGTGAAATGTTGACTGTATTCTTCCTTTATTGGTGGTCCAGCAACAAGTTTTTGCACATTTCGTTATAGTACTTCACTGTCTTCTTGAGTTACCTTTGAACTCTTTTGTTCGGCTTTTCTACTTCATTGTTTCTTCCTTTTGCTCCATTCTATGTTCAAGAGCAAGTTTCAGAGTCTCTTCTGACATCCACATTGGTCTTTTCTTTTCCTTTTCTAAGCTAAAGGGAAGAGATTTATGGGAGCCCATACAGGAAACCCTAGAGGGGC